CCGGCCGGGCCCGTACAAGTACTGCTACAACCACGCAAGCAGAAAGGCCGGGAAGTCACCCACCGCACATTTGAAACAATACTCATTGCAAACAGTGCCAAACCTCTCCCCACGTTTCTTTCCAGCTAAAAACCGGATCTAGAAGCAAATGCACATGGGGCTGCGGGTGCCTGACAGAGAAAAGAGCACAAGTCTGATAGTCAACTAAAGAACCATAACAAAACATGCTTCTGCACTTCTAAGTGCTTTATCTGTGGTACACACCCTTAGCTCGGCCCCAGAGGGGGGCAAAGGCCTAATGACTAGTACTACAACCAAAGTAGAATCGATTTAGGTAAGGCAATGAAATATGGTGTAATTACATAGATCCAGATCCATTTCCTAATCAAGAATGAACAATTCCCAGTAGTCTTCCGACAACAAAATCACCATCGTGACTATGGCAACACTTTTTTCGCCTCTGAATCAGATGCCGTGTTTTTGTACTTTATTGTAGCTTTTATATAAAATCTTTTTCATTCAAGGACTTTCATCTCGATTTGTGCCAATCGCTCTATGAGTTCATTAGTTTACAATGATTGCAACAACCCGTTAATAAAATGGAACACCTAAAAAGGTTTTTAGTATTTTAAATAACTTCAAGCTTCATACTGCAGCTCTTCTTGTTAAGGAGGTTGAGCCAACAAGTAGCAGAAACAGCCCAGCAAGTTCTGATGCCCCAGTGGAAGTGACTAGTTACAAGGTTTTATTGGCACAGCCTTGCTGTGCTTGAAAAAAGAAAAAAGCAAAACAAAACTATAACAAAAAAAAAAAAAAAACAACCACACAACACACTAAACAAAGAGCATCTTTTCCAAGAAAAAGTTCATATTCTCATACAGCCATGAAAAATGTTTAATGACTTAACATACACGTGTTTTTCCTATATCATTAATTTGGAAATACTACAAATGCTGTCATTTTAGACCAGAAAAACTACCACTGTTTGCAAGATCTGATGATTCCTAAAACAGTATTAAACAACGTATTAAACTTCTTGGCTTTAAATTAAACGATACAATGTAAGTCTCTGCAGTCTGCATTCTGCAAAAGGTAAGAAATACACAAGTGTGAACAACTCACTCCTATTGAATGATCTGTAGCATCTCAATAGCCGGCTGTAGGGAGCTTATGCTTTCAAATATAAAAGGAAGAAGGGAGGGCATGGCCCAAATATGCTTAATCCATATGAACAAATACAGTAAAGGCCCAAACTGCTCAGTCCAGATACCTAAGAAGAGAGGAATGGTAAGGCTGTAACTTATACTTTTACGTGTCAGTTGACAGATTATCCACTAACTTAACTAATAGCTAAAGTCTTCAGTACAGCTGTTATAGGGGCACTCATAGCTTGAGTCTGTGTGTTGGAAAAACATAAAAAAGAGTTGTTTTGTTGACATTGGTCCAGGTATACCACAGTCCTCAATGTTAGCCATCTTCTTTCGGAGGAGTGTACCAGCCTATGGAGAACAGAGAAATGTGTGAGGTACCAGCACTGCTACGCCTAGACGATCTTTCCATCTTACCCTCAGTTTGTGAGAGACCCAGTACTGGGATGGGAAAACTGAACACTTCCAAGTTTAGGGGGTTTTGTGGCAGCAGCTATCCTGAGGAGGACAAGCTGGACCTCAGTGGAAGCTGTTGGAGGAACACTGTAACAAAACCTAATGTAGCAGAAGTAAAAGCCCCTAAGTCTTCAAGCCACTTAATGCACAGACATGCCAACGTGACTACACTGGGATACAAATCCCATCTCACTTACTGAAGAGTTAGGAACCCACTAGCGCTTCAACAGTTTATCATTCTTCTGTAAATGCTGCTGTAGCAACGGGCTCCGAAATTTCAATTGAATAACTTGTCTCCTGATAAGATTTGGCATGTTTGTTTTTTCCTATCCACCTCCAGGTCTCCAGCCTTAATTCTCTCAGCCACTATTGCAAAAATTCCTCTAAATATTTATATAGCAAACACAGGGACTATTTATGTTGTCCCAGAGAATAGGTAGCATCTGTAAGTTAAAGACACCTTTCGCAGCAGCAATAAACGCTGTGAATGCCTTGTGTACAGCTCCTGATGCAGCAGTAATCACTGTAGTCAGGGCTAGCACATAGCTAGAGGTAAATAGGCAGTCATGCTGGCTTTCGTAGCAAACTAAAAAAGCAAAAGACTCAATTAACGGCAAGGTCAAAGTACCATAAAATTGGAAAGCATTTTGAAGTTATCTCTGAGCTTCCTCCCAATAGCAGAGAAGGCATTACACTCAGTTTTAGAAGTAGGGAAACTGAGGTGCTCCTTACAGTCACACTGAAATATATTTTCATGTTCACAGCAATGTGAATTTCCAGAGGACACTGTTTCCCACCTGGATCAAAGAACACCATAGAAGCGGTAACTGAGACTAAGTCCCTCATCATGAGATGAGGTACAAATTCTGCTGACTGCTTTTACATAACCTGTAAGCCACTTAAACCTTTTAAAGCCTGAGGTCATTTGTTACCTGCTCATCCTGGCACAATGAATGCAATTACACCTGAATACTTGTTTTATGCAGCTGAGAGACCATTAACTGGCTTTAAATAGGATACAAAAAAAATAAAAATCTGATTTTCATTTCACAGTTTTCCAGCCAGCATATTTCATTTGGACTTCTTGTAATTTTTTAGCTTCTGGTCTTTCTTTCCACTTTACTAATAGTAATCATTAAGAAAGAGATAAAGTCTTGTGACATGGAAACAAAGCTTTTCAGAGAAAGAGGGAAACTTCCAGCAAGTACTTCACTAACAAATAAGACACTCTAGAAGCTTCAGTAAGAATAAAGTTCCTAGAAGGGCTGGCTGAAAATGAAATTGAACTACCTTTCAACAGACAGTAAGAACACATGGAACATTAATGTCAGCTGGGAACACTGCAATTATTGTTAGTCAAATTATTTTAAGCACTATTGTCTTCCTACTGCAAGACAAGAGGAAGGAAATGCCATTTATGGTCTTCCCAAGCCAACAGAAGACACTTGCACTTGAAGTTCTGCTGCAGCCAAATACCAACTCTCAAGCTGCTGTGCAGACAAGAATAACGTCACAAGAGTATACATACCATTTTTCTCATGTATTTGTACTAGTGACTTATAGGACTGCTGTGCTCTTGCTAGATTATATTGATTCTGAAAGGAGAAAAAAAATAACATAAATACCCTGCATCTAGACAAGTGAGACTTACAACCATTTTTATTGAAGAAACTCTGCAGCAGGCTCACAAATAAAACCCGTGCGTGAAGTTACCGTGTTCCTGGCTTTTAAGTACAAGATTTAAACACAAATAGGATTATTTTCTCATTTCTTCTGTCATAATGACAGTAATTTACATAACCCTGGCTGCTGGAAAGACCACTCTATCAGAAGGTTCAAAACCTGAGCCAAGTAAGCAGTGTGTGCAACCACAGCAGTGGGCTTCAGGTAATCCCCACTGTAGCTCTGGCTTGCTCAGCTGACCATGACTGTGATCATAAACTTACATCTTACCTAGTTCATTACCCTTGAATCACTACCTAAAAACTAGCATTCGAATGGTAATTTCAGTAATTGAATATTTTAAAACATCCTTTGAGAACAGCATTTAGTACTTCAAAGTCTTTTCGGTTATGATCCATGAGCAGCACATGCACTTGAATGGGATTATGATTCCAGTGAACACTGAATGGCTAGCTCAGAAGGTTTTGCATGGTGTCATTTTTCACTCTCTCTTGAAACTCTGCAGCTATTCAGACTTTCTAACGTCAGTGCATGCCATCCTGACAGTCAGGCTATCATCTACAGCCCTTCTCAGATCTGGAATTTTCAAATCCTCCCAATCCCACTTCTGAACCCTCCTTCCGTCCCCACCTTACCAGTACAGGGATAGTGCAGCAAGTCTGTCTACTTACACAGCCTGCCCATCCCAAGGTTTTATGCCTCTCACCCATTCACTGGTTCTTAAACTCATAGTTTAACTGCCAATAAAATACTCATAGATACCCCAGACATCAAGATAAATCAAAACAAATATATTTGCAATGGCAATTATGTCATGAAGCATCTTCTACGTGTCAGCAGAGAAACGGAGGCCTCATGGGCAATTTGTGTAAGGGATACACACAGCGCGTTTACCTTATTGGCTCCAAACTGTACTCTGGCTTTTCCTTTGACTAAAGTGGCATTGATCTGCATGATGACCGATTCTATTGAATAGGCACTGCTCCAGCCCTGGGGGAGGAAGGAGACAGATCTACATAACATGTACTTGCTTTGCGTGCTCACCTTGCAAATCTATTTTGGAATGTGTGCTTTGGGCTTATCTTTTATTTTTCTGCACCCCAGTTCTAGTTTTAACCATTCGCTTCCACTTCACGACTTCTATTTTCCAGAGAAAAACCTGGAAAGCGCTATACTCTCCAGATATACTTTCCAGTGATACACTTAGCATTAGTGCTAAGAACCTGTAGGAAAAATGAGAAGGCTGAATCACACATTTCCAATATACAGCAAGACAGAAACAAGAAAAGCTCCATTATTACAGTATTCACACTTACTTGGCAAACTCACAACAGAAATTAGAACTTTTTGTTGTAAGAAGCAGAAAAGACTGCTATCTAATGAAGCCATTGAGTGAGCTACAACAATTTTGTTTGCAGGAAAATTATTTCTCATCTCTGGCATTGCTTTGCCTTCCAGGGTTCATAAAAGCTTCTGCTAGAACCTGCAAATAGTTACTTCATTTATATACTTATTTTAAAGAGAAAAACAAATCACTCCATCAACGCAGGACTCATCTACGCCTACAATCTTCTGCATTCCTCACTTCTCCAGAGCTGACTCAGTGCATTAGCAGAGGCTTCTGGAAAACAAAACCGTGTGTCTTGCTCCTCAGACCTCACTCTACACTGGTTTCCTCCCAGAAATTCTGAGAATTCAAAGTTGATATACTCTCACTTCTTGCCTCTTCTCCAGACCTCTTGTAAGCCATCCAAGACAGAAAAGAAGATCTCATACAAGATCAGCAAGGCAAATCTTGTGGGCCTGAGGTTTATGCCATGTTCCTCTTGGAGTGTATCATTCATTCTACACAGGGATTCTTCAACTCAGGGAAAACACCCGTTTTCATTATTTTAAAACATGCTTGCTTATTATGCAGATAACAGAGCCCATGTTCACCTGTTTAGTAAGAAGTTCCATGCATAGTGCACCTCCACCTAGGACATACCTAGAAACAAACGTGAAAAGAAAGTTTGACATCAGCTGTTAGTAAAAAGATTAAACGGTTCGCAGGTGTTTAAGCTCTTGCAGGGTAGTTTGTTACACTTTTTGTTCCTATAAAGCTGCAGTGTCCTTTAACCAGTAATATACTGCAACTAGTTACCAGTATTATATTTATGCAAAGAAGATTAGCGTTGTGGAACCAAAAAGTTCCCTTTGTTAACTACACTTAGTTAATATCAGTGACCAAGCTAGCTGGCATCACTGCTTACACCACTGTACATAGACCATGACAAAAGGAATGTTGTTTTCATATGGTGACACTGCATACACACAATACTGATGTGTAGTTGTAGACTAACCAAACAAATTCACTTCTTTAAAGAAATTTAACAAAATCCCAAACAGTGTAGGTGCACTTAAAGATCTAAACAAGTGAGATAAAGCAGAACTTCACTTGGTCTTGTCCCATAAACCACTTTCTAATTTCAAAAACTCTTCATCGCGTGTTGTGCTGACTGGAACTCAGCAACCAGAATGTCCCGTTATCACAAAACCTGAGCTGAGCAAATAGAATTTACCACTCCAAAAATGTTGTCTCATATTATCAAGATATTTGAACAACATGGATCTGTACAACATTCACAGGGAAACAATCACTGAAAGCCTCCTGGGCCATTCTTTCTTTTCATTCTACAAAGAAGTCCAAGTAAAACAAAACCAGAATGAAAATGAGTTTTCCAATGTCTGCCACTGCTTGCTTACTCCATTGGTAAGGAGCAATTCAACTGCACCAATTATGTCTTCAACGCCGAAAAGACAGGCGGTAATTAAAACCAGAATCAGCAACAGCTATCAGACACTGCATTTTCAGGTGTAACTTCCTGTCAAAAAAACAGGAAGCTTTGGAAGGTGAATTTCATCTTTTCTCCATGGATATATGCAAGTTTCTGGGCCACAGAGCACTTCAAACATGGTTTAGATGACTATAGGAGCATGATGCCAATTAAACCTAGTATTTTTGGACTGGCATTTGAGGAGTTCTTAGACAAAAACTGGCAGTGTTACCAGCAACAGACAGTAAGTTAAGACTATACAGCAAGTTTAAGGCAACACAGGGATCAAGACCCTGTCAAAGCACCAACTCAAAACAACCTCCAACAGGAGAAGTAACAGTTGTGTTAACCACCTGCAATGAGGCCAGTTCTTAAACATCATGGCAGGCACAGAGTCCTTCAAAGCTAGACATGAACTAAGCAAGTCAAAGAGGAATTGAACCCTGCTGTTTGCCTACTCTGAGTTCATAAAAGTGGAGAGGTTAAGTCTCCACATCACACTGAGCTCTTCACCAAACTCACTGTATATAGCAGCTCACTTACATTTAGGGGAAATTTCTTGAAGTCTACATGCTAGTCTCAACATGTTCCCTCCAAACTCAATCAACCAATCTCAACATCATAACATTTTTACCACAAAGTGAAGTTACTGTAAGGCAACTCAAACCTACCCTCCTGTGAGCACAGGAGAAACCACTCGCACGAAGGGAGGATCAAAAGGGAAGTTATCCTGAAAAGCATAACAAAAAAACACATTAAAAAAACATACTGTGACACTGTTTTCCTAACAAGGAAGTATTCAATAGCTTTATATGACAAATCAGATTTAAACCAGTAAAATTTTTCTGTTCCATAAAAATCAGTTTCCCACAGTACTGACTAAAAAAAATACATTTTGGGATGCTTTAGTGTCCAACTTAAAGTTTTGTTGGTTTTAGGCTTTAATTTTTCTTTTGTTTGTTTTGCTTTTATGCTACTGCTCCATCTTTACCCAAGTAACAGCTGAGGGTCATTTCAGTCACTTTCTATGTTCATCTACAAATTTAACTTCAGCACTTCTTCCGATAAAAACATACCTTAAAAGAGAAGTTGAGTAAAATGTATTCTACACCTTCTTTTTCTTTTAAGACCTGAAGATCACTATGCAGTGGGCTATCAGGATCAACCCTATAAAAGAAGCAGGGGAGAGATCCTAGATGAAGTAAATATTTTCACTACCTCTAAATAGTAGTCACTCTTTAAGAGCTCCCTTATGCGTTTGTAGTTCAAAACCTGTAATTTAAAGTGAACTGTGTGAAACTCATTCTCCCCTTATGAAGTAAACACTCTGCACCGAGATCAGCATGAACACGTGCTGAAATGCACTACGTTCTCAACGCTATCAAGTTATTGGAACACAGTCAGCACAAAATAACCTGTTTACTTGAAAAGAGTAATTTTAACTTTCTTCAGTTCACTGGAAACATATTTTCCACAAGAGGAGGGGGGCGGAAATTAACAGGAAGACTGTAGAGATCTAGTTTTCAGTACACAGTGAAATCTTTATGGACTATGTGATTGTAGTTCTCTATCAGCTCTTAAAAGTCATCTGCATCAGCAGAAGTACCAAAGCCAGTAGCCTGTGCTCAGCAGAATTTCAACAACTGTTTGTTGCAAAATGCTGGTGGTGAGCAGCCCAGACATTTATTCAGACACTACGGGGATAATCCCACTCATGCTCTGACACCCCAGCAGCTTTTAAAAGAGACTAGTCAAAAAAATGCCTTCGGCAAGCCGGCTAGATGTTGACTAGAAGCCGACTAGATCTAGTACACAGTGAAAAGCAGTACATAAGAGAAGACAAGTTATGTAAGTCATAAATACATTATTTCTAAAAATTTGTCCTGTGTGTCTGCACAACTGCAGAAATAAGTAATGACACTAAGACAGTTCTGCTCCTTCTTACATCTTGAATGAAACAAGAAGTTGCATTTTCTTGAAATTAAAACCAAACAAAATAAAAATAAAACTATTCTGACAAAAAAACTAAAAATTATTCATCATTTAAGGTTTCATATTTTGGAATAGTTTTGGAAAGAGAATTGAACAGTAATGAAAGGTACAGTAATACTGTGTTGGTTTTGCAAAAAGGGTTTGGGGTTTTTGCCAGCTCAATTACTACAGTTCAACCTCTGTACATACTTCTGTATGCTAGAATTGTAGCCAACACATGCTATTTTATATGCTCTGGCTAGAGAATCTCATTTATCCAAAGTAACAATTCTCTGCAGCAATAAGTATTCAGAACATTAAAAAAATTAATAACTTACTTCAGAAGCTTAACATGCCATTCATACAAGCTGTCATTTACCAGTTCCACTGAATATATCCCTGTAGAAATATTAGATAGAATTAATTCTGTACTAAAAGTTTAACAAGTTAAAAATCAGCCAAAACATTCTTTGCTTTTAAGTACAAATACTGTCTGTAGATTTAAGCAATAGAGAAGATACTGAGGCATATCCTTCCTCCAATAGCAGAAGTACTTCTGAGCAACTGCAAGAAAAAAGTGTTTTCATTTTTATTAAAAAAAATTCCACAGGAATAAAGATGCTTTTCTGGCACTTAACCTTTCCCTA